GGGGAATTCTGGGAGTTGAAGTCCACTCATCTTAAAGTTGCTAAGGTTGAGAAACACTGATTTAAAGGCTCCAGCTTTCAGCTCAGTAAGAGGGAAAGCATTTTTTTTAAAGACTGCTAAGGGTCTCCCTACTCTGAGCGAAGTGAAGTTTGGAACACCAAATATTACACTTACGGTCATGTCCTTTTTATAAGTGATCACTCCTAAGTGGTTTTGACAGTGAAGAATCTGGACTGAAAAACAAAACCAAGATTTATTGGGCTGAACCACTGAGCCCACCATTATTCTCCCCATTCCAACACTCACACTCTGGAGGGGGGAAATGAATATCGACCTTTCTGTATATAAAAAGAGATTTCTGTAGGAGCTGAAACTTTGCATGATAACGATTCCCTACTGCCAAAGATATCCACAGATATCAGGAGGGTAGGATGAGAAATGTGGAATCAGTGTAATAAATAGAAATGTCAAAAGACATTTAAGATTTGGTTCCAAAAGAATCATACCGTACAGATTACAATTCTTGATATCACAAGGAAGTGATGTGGCTTGGAAAGGATGCAAGATAAAGAAGAGCTTTGTGACAACCCTTTTTACCCCATCTAATTCCTTCTGGTTCTTCCTTCTCACATTATGAATATTGATCTCATTTAAGTTATGCTACAGAATTCTGTTTCTTCCATGTTTAAAAGGATACTCCCCAGTTGGAACTTTTATTTAAGACGATGTTATACCAAAGTACTTTTCCCTCAGGCCACAAGAACTGCCTCCAAAACACAGAGTCCAAGGCCACTGTGAGTCCTAAAAGGAGAAAACAGCCAAAAGTGAAGAAAGAGCTATATAGAAATCATTTAAAATAACAACTTGCCTTGAACCAATAAATATCAGCTGAGATCTTTTTGAATCAGAGTTGGATGGAAATCAGCCTATTACCTTGAAATACTGATATGAGTGCACAGTCAGCAGAACCAAAAGTGCTGTGACTTGAAAGCGGCCGTAATTACTCTTCCTCTACCTGAGGTTAAGAAATATGTTGGTTTGATTTCATACAGTTACAAGTCTGCCATTCAGATAGGACTTTGGTAGAGACATCCAGGGCTGCACTTAGAACTGGCAAGAGAGCCTCTATATGCAACAGGGCTGGCTGATCCCCTCTTGTATTAAATAAAATAAGATATATTGCCATCTATAGTAGAGGTTCCTCAGAAGATAATTGAGTCCACAGCCTAAAATGACCTAATTACGCAGTTGATAAACAAAGGGCAGAATCCCATAGAGGGCTATAATTACACACTGGACTGCAGTGCAGAACATTTTTCTGACCTAAAATCCACACTCAGCCTTTGAATAGCATGCCATGGGCCACAGTCCAAAAAGTAGTTGATGAGGCCAAGAAAATACTAAGTATCATTCATTTACTTAAAATTTAATATAATTATAATTAAGTACAGTTGATTATTCTCCAATCATACACTCAATAGTTTCCCAACTCAATCATATTAAATATAACATTTCAGGAACAATTTTTGAAGATTTCTTGGGGCCACATCCAAGGCCCTCAAGGACAGCATGTGGTCCTGGGCTTGTAGATGTATCTCTGATCTAGTCTACATATTCCTGCAATTCCACAACCAGCACAGTCAACATATATGCCCTTGAAGTTAGGGAAGTTGTAGTTTTGCATCTCTAAATAACACCAAATTGGGGAAGACAGTTTTACCCACATTAGGATTTGGAAGAGTGTTGAGCATACACATAAAAATACTGATACATCATGAAGAACATCCTATATCAGTCAGGGGTTAGGCATGTATACTGAGCAGGATTATTCAATATTCCAGTTGTCCCCATCCATATCACCTTTTCTTATATAATGGTCAGATTGTGCTAGGCAGAGCCTTCCTTATCTGCATAAACTCCCTTCCTATACATCTGGGATGGGCAATATTCCCAAGATCAGGACCATAACTGGCTCCCCTGATCTGCTGCAACATTGCAAAAGATACTGACAGAAAGGAAAGGATATCACAGAATGGGTAGGGCTGATTTTTTGTTTGTTTGTTTGTTTTTGGTCCATTTTTTTTAGTATGTTTCTGGATGGAATTGGAGCAGGAAGTCTTCAGAAGGAAAACCATGCCTACTTCCACCCTTAAAAGCCTACCACATGGCCAAAAGTTGTGCCTTTCAAACCCAGCTGCAAATTGGCCAAATTGTGATAGTGCCATTTGGGGCTGCTTTGGGGAAGAAATTAAGGAAAGAAATGGGAACAATTTTCCTCTCAGAGAACTCCTATTTCCATCCCCAAATATCAGCTACTTTTCTATCAAATATCATTGGCATAATCTCAGGTGGCTGCAAATGAGCTGCTGAGAGGCATAAGTTATATAAATAAAGTAGAAAAATCCACTGTGTTAGAAAAAGTTGTTTTTTAAAAAATGGTAAAATATTTTCAATTATGTACAGAGATACTTTGGTGTAGTGGTTAAAGGCAGCAGGCTACAAACTGGGAGACTGGGAGTTTTACTTCTGTCTTAGGCACAAAGCCAGCTGGGTGACCTCGAGCCAGTCACTCTCTCTCAGCCCTAGAAAGAAGGCAATGGCAAAGCACTTCTGAAAACGTTGCCAAGAAAACCGCAGGGACTTGTCCAGGTGGCATCGGGTGTCAAAACTGACTTGAAGGTATCCCTAAAACAAAAAGGGGGTATGAAAACTTGAAGCTACTATGGAAGTTTAGCAGCTGGAAAAATGAGGTACTCAATAAAACTGAAACTGACAGTTATCCATTCTTGACCCAGCTCTGTGTGATGCAGGTAAGTAACACGAGATTCTGGAGGATGATAACTACCTCCCATATGCCATAATCAGCATGATCAGTAGTGAAGGATGATGGGAGCTGCAGGCCAACGATACCTGGAAGCCCATCTCTGATACAAAATATATAACACAGGACCAAATCAGCTGAAATTATAAATAATATTCACTTTTAGTTCATTTTTATATTGCTCTCACTCCACATACTTCAATGCGTGCCAATTTTAAACTCATTTCCCCCCAACTTTTAAAAGGAGGTTAAGAACTACTGGCAGTTAAAACTTAGCAATATAGCTATTTCTGAAGTAAATCCCACTAGTTCAAAACTACTTACCTAACCAAAAAGCCCCTGCAGGAGCAGCATAGAAAAGCATTCTCATAATGGAGAGTTTTTTATTAAACAGAGTTATCAGAAGCATAAGACCCAGGAATATGCAAAGCTCTGATCTGAAGACAATAATTGCCAAAGCCGAGAACCAAATAAATGGGCGGTGCTTTTGCTGCATCCAAGATGTAACTGCTAGTAAAACTGGTTAACAAATGAACAGACAAATCAGGTATTAATAACTTAGCTTGTCAATCATTAAATCATTAACACAGAGTGTGAATATATCAAAGCAATTAATAAACATGCTACATGGTCAAAATTTCAGTGAAAGAGCAATCATCCCACTTTAAAGCAATTTGATTGGAAATGGGGAATCTGTGGTCCCTCAAATATGGCTGGGCCATAAATTGAATTATCAGAAGGCGATGATTGGAGGTGGAGGCTGCACATAGCATTTTAAAGAGAAAGTATTACAATGGATGGGGTAGGGATCCCAACTGAGTAGGGCCAGGACTTTCTGATCTTTTTTTCCTTTGTGTTTGGGAGTGGAGTTGGTTTCTTTGGTTTTTAAATTATGTTAAGCCTATTTTAGTTCTTTTCTGGTATTTTATCTTTCTGATTTTCAGTAATTGTGATGGGACGGGTCCTCAAAATTGTCTGTGGACCCAAACACAGCTCGGTGCGTTCAGGCTCTCCCATTCTTGATTTATGCAGATCAGACATAGAGTGCATTTGAGTCTGCAGGCCTTCAAGACGTGTCTCTGACCAGCTTTGGGTAAAAGAACATCTCAACCCAATCATGAGCCCCTTTTACTAGGTCACTGTTTACTCTGCTTTATGATTATTTACTGATCAAGGAAGGTTTTTGAAGGCATGCTCAAGTACTTACCAACAGGCAGTGCAAATATGTTGGGGAGAGTACGAGTGCAGTAAAACATCAGGTGGAATTGTGTAGCTGTTATCAGGCAGAAAATCAGGGACACAGTAGAACCAAACTGCTTTCTCACTTCTTTGTGTAACCGCCACAGGGCATAAATCACACTCAAGCCCAGAGTTCCTCGGACTGATGGCAAAATAACATGAATAACAATGAAAAATCAGCTTTATTATCTGTAACAGAAATAGTAACAGGGAATGAACATGATCTAAGTTTCCTGGGCTATATAACAGTGTTAGAAATTACAATGGCTTACAGAACAATAAAGGCAAAACACCCAGAAAGAAAAATGTCCATATTTCATACCTATCAGCTGGGAGTAGAATTTTGACATTTGTAGAAGAGACAATACATAGACGGCTGGGCTGGAAAGAAGGGCAATAAAAATTGGACCGAGGAATGTTCTTGGGACAACTCCAGGAAATTCATAATGATCGTACTGCAATTTAAAAAATAAATAAATAAATAAGATAGACATATAGAAATAGCTGCAAAAAGAAATGCTATAATTTTATTATACTTTTTGTTTAGTCAGAGCAAAAGTGACCCAAATTAGTCACCAAAGTGTTTGCTCCAAATTTCATACGGAAGACACCAAGAATGTCTTTACAGGAATAGCTTCTGTGAATTTACCTGGGAATAAATGAGGAGGTTCAAAAGGATTTTTGGCATATTAGGACACAAATATCTACTTACCATCATGCTATGTTTTCAACCATCTCTGCAACCTTACATAAGATAAAGTAGGAGCGCTGGAGCTGTTTTTATATCAGATCTGACCACAGTTCTATCCAATATTATATACAATAACCTTCACTAATTTGGAATCCTCTTCATACTTTAGAATGGCACCTCCAGAATTTACAAACTACAGATGACTACACTAATTAAAAATTCTAATAATAGTTTTAATATATCTGGGGTGTGGGGCTGGGATTAGTTTAGAGAGGGCTGATTTGAACTAAATGATCCCAAATTTCTCTGGATAAACCAGGAACAAAACGTATGATTTTCTGCACAAAAAGTGCATGCTCTAAACCACAGCTCTTTCTTTGTATGTTATCCAAACATATTTTGGCCTAGTGACAATTAAACTCAGAGTGTGAATCTATGCACCTTTTTCAGTGGTAGATTCTACTAGAATTGATGAAGCTTCCAGATCATCTCAAGGACTAACCCTTCCTAGTTTAAAGTCTTACACTTCTGCTACTTCTTCCATAATTGTGGAAACTTCAGGAGTATTTATTTGGAACACCAATTCATAGAATAAAGTTCTTCACGTGATTCTTCTAATCAGTAGTCCTAAAGGATTACACAGAGATTTTTCCTGATGTGGAGATCAGATCTTCATTAACTTGAGTTCAAGTATTCAGGTCAGCTGATCTGTAGATTGCACTATTAATTTTTAATTGATTGGATGCAGCACAGCAAAATATGTTACAATTGGGAAATAAATTGAGCAAGATAACAACATTGCCTCCAAAAATCAAAAAGCATGGGGAACTCTGAGGGCTGCAAATATGGTCAGTGGAAGTTACATGTGGCCTGTAGATTACCCATCTTTTTGGAATACACCTGGTGAACAAAGTACAAGAATTAAACACTTAACCCTGAATCATTGCCCAATAGGGAAATCCATAATGGAACATGTTTTTTAATCCAGCTAAATAATTAGCCAGTTTCTATTTTTTCTATATTCATGCAAAAATATAAAGACAGGTAATAATGTTGGACATAATAGAGCATAATTATAGTATAATTACAAACTTAAGATGCTACTGGCTTTCAAAATAACTCAGTGGCACACTAATTATAAAAGAAGGTGATCTCTAAATCATGAAATAATGAGAATTACCTTTTCTAATCCCAGTTTCTCATATAAAATGTCATGGGTAGCCTGAAGATTAAAGCTCTCCTCTACTTTTGTAAATGGGCATACAGCTAAGTGGATGAAGGCAACAGCAATGATCAGCAGTAGCAGCCACTGTTGTCCTCTGGAGGGTTTCTTCTCAGCCATTCTGGATCCAAAATGCCCATCAACATTATAGAAAAGATCAGAAGGAGAAAAAAAATGTAAGTGTCTGATACAGAAGGCAAACAGATGTTAAGCAAATGGCAAAACCAAGATCAAACTTGAGTAAGCACAAATATTTTCTGTATCAGTAAATGTTCTGACTTATTTATTGAAGCTTACTGAAGCTAGGTTTAACTGTAGTAGCCTCCTGGCTGTTCTTGCCAATTCTGCAGCTGTTCTCCTCTGATGAAGGACAGATTAGCAATCTAGAATTGTTCTGGGCTTTCAAACTACTTTGCTCCTCCATTACTAGTAAAGACTCAACTTCATTTGCTGTGTATGGACTGAAAAAGGCACATGGTGTGTAAACTTCATTATCCTCCCTCTCCTTGTTGTTTCAGAAAACAACATGTCGTAGGCCAACCAACTGTCATTATTGTCCCATGTGTTTGGGGATAAAGCATTCCCTTTTGAAGTTTAAAAAGTAGGTCATTGTTTGGAGCTACTCCTTCTCCAAGGTTTACCAAGTGCCGGGGCAGTCAGAAGTCAAATCTTGGAAGCACCCAGAAATTTCCCAGCTTCAGAAGCCTTAAGATCAGAACATTCTAGTTTGCCATGGATCCATTTTTCAGTGTATATTCTACACCAGGGAAACTCAAGGTAGCTGTCAGAAAAAAAATATTATTGGATGGAAATCAATGCTATTTATCTGCTGGGGAAATTCTTCCATAAGCCCTGCACACCCTTAAAATGCTCTCTACATAGGCTGCCCTTGAAGATAATTCAGAAGCTACAGCTGGTCCAGAATGTGGCAGCTTTGTGAAACCAGAGGTTTTTCGTTTGGGACTGATGGACAGACAGCTGGAGAAAAGTCATAGAACTTTGTTTTGGTATATGATAAGTGCAGTGAGATTATAATATGCTCAAAAGTGGAAAGATTCAGCATTACCCACAACAGAGGGTTGTGAAGATAATGGAACTTGCAGAGATGGCTAAACTGACTTCCTTGATTAGAGAAAAGACATCATCTATGTTTATTGTTGACTAGAACCCCTTACAGGTAGTCCTCGACTTATAACACAATAGGGACCAAAAAATTTGTCATTAAGCAGTGTGGTCATTAAGTGAGGTATCACATGGCTGCACCTGATTTTACAACATTTTTGGTGACATTAAAAAAATCACTGTGGTTGTTAAGTGAATCAACATGGTCATTAAATGAATCATGTGGTCGTTAAGTTAATCAAATGGTTCCCCACTGATTTTGCTTGTTGAAAGCCAGCTGGGAAAGTTGCAAATGGTGATCACGTGACCGCAGGATGTGCCAAGTGCCCAAATTTTGAACACATGACCGTGGAGATGCTGCAACAGTCAAAAGTGCAAGGACCGGTCATAAGTCACTTTTTTAAGCACTACTATAACTTAGAACTGTCACTAAACAAATGTTCATAAGTTGAGGACTACCTGTATAGAACTTTTGCATGAAACAGAAAAAAAATTAACTTATGATTTGTGGTTTTGATGATTAGGAAAAAAAAAAAAGTTAATAGAAAAAAGAGAGCCTTTTTTTTTTTTTTT